GGACTGGAATCTGGGATTTAATAAATTTGAGCAAATTTCATACATGAGGAATAAGCCTTTTTGACTCTTTATATTGACATTTAAATTTAGAGAGAAGCTCTAGCAGTTTCCTGGCTGGGACATGTGACCATCTCTTCTTGTGCAGACAACTTAGTCCCTGGCTAGCACTCAAGTGACTTAATAAAAAGTGACAAGCAACAAATCTAGCAACTTGTTTATGTTATCTAAGACTTTTGGAGACTCTTAGCATGAAAGTACCTATTGTTCTTAGTCTTCTCAATAAACAGTGGGTGCTGCCGGGTCCCCTCCCCATCTCAAGGCACTCACAGTTGACCCAGTCTTCATGCTCCAGTCTGTCTCAGCTGCAACTATAGTCACAGCCTCCAGCTATCTGAATCTAGTTAACATGTAGGAGCAACAAAGAGGCCGACAAACAGAAAGTCTGACAATATAAAGGAAAGGACTCATTACTGTCTGGAGAGTCAAGTGTAATCCTAATTAAAGACTCTATTTGTTGTTAGTTTACCACATTTTTAGATCTACCACGTTTTCACACTCTGCATTGTTATTGATTGTATTAACTTTAGTGAAGTATGAGAGTGTTTTAACTGATTCAGTTCAGAATCTGTGATAAAAATTCCTTGTAGAAACAATATGAAGGAGACCGAATCGGTTTTGAAGCCATATAATTTTAATGTTAGCACAGGTTGTCCAACTCTTGACTACAGCAGAGACTTCATGATCAAAATTGGTGTGGCTCATATACCTACAATTTTGGGTGCTGAAAACAGAATTTGCAGTTTTTTTCTGCCTACTTTATGCCAGTCACAGCCAACAGCTGTAAAACAGCAGCAGGGTGCCAGGAGGGGAACAAGAAATGTTCTCCAGAACGCCAGTAATTGGGAAAGGAAGATCTGAACTTTGGCATGGCTTCTGCTTTTCATTAAGTTTTTTTTTAAGTAAACACTGTTCCTATTTTCCTCAAGGCAACCCCCTTTCCAGAAAAAATACTTATCAGTGGAGGTGGTTGTTTTGTTTTCTGTTGAAATGTTTTCTTAGGAACAGTCGGTGATAAAGGAAAATACATTAAAAATGGCACTGACACATTAAATGTACTAATGAACAAACAGAAGATTCGACAATAGCAGCTGCTTTGCAACATTTGGACCATTTTTAATCTTGATGCAGAAGTTTCTGAAGTAACGAGAAGTTTGACAAAACCCAGACTCTAAGGTTAATTATTTAGCAAGCTCACGCAGGATCTTAGCCACAATTTCTGGCCCAGATGGACACACACCCTGCCTGACATAAGACCACTATCTGCCAAAAGCTTATATAAAGACCCACGCCCTCTAGCTGATGACGTAATTCAAACTCTAACATCACATCTTGGGACTTAAAGAATGCTGGTCAACAGCCTGGGGCCATGAGAAAGAGAGTGGCAATATTCTGCCTGTGTTTTCATTGGCAGAGCAAAGTTTCTAACCAAGATGCAAAAGTTTCAACTGTCGGAGCAGAGTTGATGTTGTCTAAGTAAATGCTTCGACCTTACTTTAACATCTCTTATTAGTTAAGCTGGTGCGACTCCAAAGGTTATCTGTTGATCTCCTGGGGATTTTTGCACACCAGAATCTTCCAAACAAGAGTGCAAATCTTTGTTTTAGTGTGGCCCTTCTGAAACAGCAATTGTCACAGCTTCTTCTGCTCTGCCCAGAGGCCCTGACTCCAGCAACAGGAGGAGCCATTGTGGATGACATGGTGAAATAAGCGAGACAAGATGTTTTTCTCCCTGGCTGGAGCAGATGTAAAGCTTGGGTTTTCCCCTGAAAGAGAGACACACAACTTTTAACGTACTCTGAGAACTTTTGAATGACATCATCCAACTCTGCAAAGCATGGCCAGTTCAGTGCTGCATATTTGCACGCCTGCATAACTACTGACTGGCAGCCATGGGAAGTGGGAATATAAACCAAATCTGTTTGCTGGAGAGTCGGGATGATCGAGTTGCTTGCGTATCACAAAAATCTCTCAACCACCTACTCTTGTTTGATTCAGATTTGTGTTAAGAAACTGTAGCTCTCTACTGCTCTCCAGATGCAAATAAACAAAAAAAGACAAAACTACTTCATCCATGGATCATTCTTCTCACTATAGTGCTTCAGATAGATGTATCCTGTATGTTTTCAGGTAAACCAGTCCATTGAACCTCTTGTCCTCCTGGAAGGCAAAACCTTTGGCCCGGTCTCAAGTCCTTTGTTGTCCAGCTGTCCCCCCCCCTACATTTACCTGAGTGTAGCTCTGTCCGCCTTTCTGCCAACTCACACAAGCTTCTACAGCCATGCTTAAGGAACATAATCCCAAACTATAATGTTGTATTGAGGGTAATGAGCAGTGTTAGTTTTCTGCCACTCAAACTGTACCATTTTAGTCTAAGACCAAAACTTAATCTTCCACATGTTTGCCTTGTTCTCTACAACCAGGAAAATTAAAAATAGCTAAACAACACCTCTGACCTTGTCAAACAAAAAAATTGGCCTGAGGGATCTGTCTTTAAAAGGTTAAGACCTTATCCTTTAGGCCGCGCAAGTCGGGAGCTGCAGCAGCTCCCGACCAGACACGTTCCAGCACATCCATTGGCTTCCATTATGGGCTAATGGTTTCCTTTAAGCTGCAGCTGGTCAGAGTACAACTGACCAGCTGCACCATGCAGGACATCCTCCTCTAGGCATGAGGTGACCCTGTTATTTGACCTTTGTTTACACCATTTTAAGAAGATAATGAACAATACCCCTAGCGGGCATGAACTTTGCCTAGCAAAGGACTTTTTCCATTCCTAAACCAGATTATGAACGACAATAATTACTGGTACTAAATTTGTTGAAGCATGGACTGATTGGTTATTTCTCCCCAAACTTGAACAAGACACAAAATCTGCATTGAACAGAATTAATAAAGAGGGTTTTTCATCGGGATCAAAAGAAGCTAATCAAGCATGAGAGATCAAAACAGTTCATGTCTTTGAACGTCTGTTGACGTCACTGGCCAAGCATCTGACCAACATTTTGTAGCATTGGAACCACACTAGTAATGACAAAACTGTCTTATGTTATTAAAAGTATCTGGATTGCTTTTGTGATTTGTATGGTGCCATTAAGGCAGTTCAAATTGTGTTAATCTGCTACTCAGACAGCTACATTAGTAAAATAACATTGACATAAACTTCTATACCTCTTTGGAGATTTGTGTTGTTTCAAAATGGTAGAAGTCCACATTAGTGTTGGGTCCTCTCAGAATAGCTGTTAGCTTAATGCTTCCAGGTCAAACTAAATCAAACAGCATTTGATTAAGCGGCTGTGAAATTTCAGGGATTCAGGCTATTTCAAGATAACAGAAGTCTGATTAGGTCCTGAACTCTCTGACGCTGGTGACTGTTGACATAAGAAAAGGAGATAGGGAGTGGTCCACAACCAGTGATTTTCCTGTGTCAACACTGTGCTGAGAACAGAGCATCTAAAACATTTCCGGTCAGCATGACTGTCTGATAAAAAGGTAAAGCGAGGTAAAAGTAAAAAAAAAATACCGCAATTTAGGCAAATGCTATTTTGTAAAAAAATTTCAATGCCTTATATTAGGAACCAGAAATGTTATCAGTGTTTTTGTCATGTTATCTGTGCAGCAATGCCTCTTACAAACATTTCATAGGTGATCAGCCATCTGTTGGGAGAAAATGACTCTTCAAAACAAACATGATTAGGGATTAGAGGTTTGTAAAATAGTCTTTGCATATACAGCTCTGATCTTTTTGAGATTACATTAGTTTATGCATCTGGGATTAACAATGTTATCTACTGGAGGTAAAAACTTGAGCCACACATTTCACATTGTGCCTGTTTTGCAGTCATATTTGGGGATTTTCTTTTTGGCTCTGTGGATTATTTTTGCTCTGTTGCTTTTCCAGATTAAACTGACAAATAGAGACCAAGCTCTATGCCGTGCAGTGAACTTGGCGCCAAGTTTGTTATGAGTGAGATTGGGCAGCAAAAAAAAAAAACATTTGACTTGACTGGGAGTACCCAACGTAATTTAATTCTCATGTAAATCTAATTACCATCTGTTTCTCTGCTGCTGCGGCATAGGGTTTGTGGTATGTCCTTTTATTGCACAAGTCATGAACATGTTCCACCATCTCATGATCGTTTCCCGGTTAAAGTAAACGATTTGCTCTTTCCATCAATCTGCAATATTCCTCCTGGTTCTCCCAAGGTCAGTCCAAATATTTAAATGCATCTGGGGCCTGACAGCTCTGCAGAAGTCGTTACAATTGGCTGGAGTAAAACCAGCACCGCCTTACAACTACTCCTTCCAACCCATGCATCACCCTGCAATTAGCATCATGCCTTGAACTGATTTGGAGCATACTGCCAGTGAGTATGCAAAAACATGAAAGCGCGCACATTTACTACGTACATGGTAGATTACGAAAAAGCACATGTAGAGGATAGATTTCTATCCTCATTTCCAATTAATTCCAAAAAATATATGAAATCACATATTTTTGAAAAAATGCAAAGACAATAAATTGTCTATTTGGTGGACATGTGGTTTTAATATGGCTTTATCCATTTTTCACAAATTCAAAGACGTTGTAGCTCCACCCAGATGCTCGACAGGATGTAGAGCATAAGGATTTTCAACTGAAACTTTCCGTCTCCGAGCAGATCCTTTGTGTCTGCAGCCACCACACCACTAAGAATACGTCTACATGTTCATGTGCAAGCCTACTTTATGGAAACCCCTCATGCTCAATTAGGCATGGGATTTCTACTAACGTATAAATACAATTTTTTTTTTTCCTAAAAATCTGGAGACAAAACCAAATAATAAAAAAAAATCTTGAAATTCTACAAAAGAATAATAAAAAAAAAACCTTTGTGGAAACTACTAAAGGTGTGAATGAAACAGTGAAAAAGACATGCTATAATAAAAAACAGACTACTCACTGCTAAACAATAGAGCGCAAAGGAGCAGAACTCCAGTCATGCTTCTGTGGAGCCCATTCATTCTCCACATGGATGCGGCCATCCTCTGTTCGAATTCGACACGTCTGGCGGGACTTTGTGTCTGAAGGAAAAAAAAACTGTGGGAAGTGAAGGCGAGCCGGTGGGCTGGGGTAGCTTCTCTTGTGAGGTCTGAGAGAGCGGGACAGGAGAGAAGGATAAAGCCTGGCTTGTGTTCTGTCTCTCTTTATACGAGCCCGCTCCTTCAGCCTCCCTTGCTCTGCTCTTTCCACACCCCTTTTCTAACTGCCTCATGCTAACCCATTTCCCCCAAAGCAACGGCCCCTGCTTCCTCTCTACTCTCAGTGTGTGTGTGTGTGTGTGTGCGTGTGTGCATGCGTGTGTGTGTGTGTGTGTGTGTGTGTGTAGGGATGTAGAGCAGGCAGCAAAGTGTGACGAGATGTTTCTGGGAAGAAGGCTGGGTGTTGTTTCAACTCAGCTCTGTTGGTACTGGGTCATGTTTCTTAAACAGAGGTACAAGTTCGATTGGTGGTACTCAGAAGAATTGTTGCAAAAAAACAATTTTCTACCTTACAGATTTGTTCTGTTTTTGCTTTTCTGTCACACATGTTTCTGATTGTCATACAATTTGTAAAACAAGACAAAGATTACCTGATCAAATACAAATTTCAATGTGTTAAAAGTCATCCAAAAATAAATCCCTGTGCCAAATATGAAAAGAATTGGTTATGCGTTATTGACTGTTAAAATTGTATTATTTTTCTGAAATCATTGTTGGTTTTACAACAAATGCAAGGAAACACACATTTCAAAAAGCTCAACTTCTCTCTCATTGGTACACAGAATATTTCCTAGAAAAGTCATCAACCGTGGTTCTTACAATGGTTCCCTACAAATCCCTTTTATGTCAAGTCTTTGTATCTTATGGTTGAATCATGAACACTGATCTCAACTGAGGTAGGTGAGGCCTGCGGCTTTTATCCATGTTGTTTTGGGTTCTTTTAAGACCCTCTAAATAATTCTCCAATGCTCTCTTGGAATACTTTTGGTTGGCTAGCCACTCCTAGAAAGATTCACAGCTGCTTGACGTTTTCCCCAGTTGTAGATAATGACTCTCGCTCTGATTCTTTGTAATCCCAAACATTAAAATTTATTTTGAAGCCCTTTCCAGACTGATAGATGTAAATGACTTTGTCATCTTTCTCATGTGTTCTTGAATTAGTTTATATCGGTTCATGATGTGCTGCTTCTTAAGAGCTTTATGCACATTTTATGTTGTTAGAACTACATGAAAGCCTCTGAAAGCCATTTCTTCATTCCGTACATCAGGAAGTCTTCAGGACTGGATGTGGCTTTAGTGACTTAAAATAAAACTTAATTTGGTCCAGATTGGAGAACCAAGCTTTGGGACTTGCACAAAAAGTTAATCCATTTATTTATCCTTTATATTTATAATGTATGATTTTTTTAAAATCATTTCATTAGGGGTAAGACCTATCTGGTTGCACTGTAGTCTGCTTGGTATCCATCATTGGTAGATATGGCTGATAGCAGGTTACTGCAAGAGAAAAGAGTCTTAAAAATCAAATCAGAAATTTCCAATTGGCTTTGAACTTCAAGATTTATTTTGATACGTTTTTTTTTTTTTTGCCAGGACCTATGCGTGTTCTCATCTTACACACAGAAAACAAAAACCCCACTGAAAAATATGAATGAAAACCCATAAATGTATTTGTGAGAGTTTCATTGGCTTTGTTTAGCAAAACCGATGTAAAAAGTGCAGGATCAGGTTGCTTAGAGGGCATTGCAAGTTTGAAATAGGACCAAAATTCAGACAAGAGTGTTAGAATAAAGTTTTAATGATGAAGATGACAAAGCTTACAGGTTGGGTATGAGCAAAACAAAAACACCAGAGAATCCCTGTAGAGAGGAGATCTGATCAATGGGAACCAGATAAGTCTAATCAGGGGAATGTTGGGTAGCTGTCAGCAGAGGGCAAACATGGAGACTTAGGGAATGAGACTTATTAACCCAGATGATACACAATTGAACTGGAAACATACATAGTGCAAATCAATAACAAGGTTTTTCTCTACAGTTGTTGAAATCACGTGCGGTAGCAGTGTGCTTACTAACAGATCTTGAAGTAGAAATGGAAAGTCATTAAGTGGGATACAAACTGAAAGAGGAATAAATAATCACCTTATCACTGCAGCTGTGTGTGTTGCAGTCATGTCAGTTTTAGATGGTGACAAACTTCCAACTTCATCACTTGGAAGACTTCATGACAACTGTGTTTGTTTTCCAACTTGGGAATTCAAGTTGGACTTTTAAAGAACGAATGAAGCACAAATAAACCACACCCTTTAAATATGCCGCACAAATAAAAAATAATGTGTTTTTTGCTTTTCTGCTAAAATAATACCAAGGGTTTTGGTGGCTTTCCACATGAAGTTTAAGAAGCACTGATTTTGTGATTTGCAAGCATTAGACTTTTGGAAGTGCATAACAAAGTAAGAAGACAGAAGATATGAAAAACTAAAATTCCAATAAAGCAAACTAAAAGAACATAAAAAAGAAAGAAAAAGGAAAAGATAAAACCCAAAATGGTTGAAACAAGGAACATATAAACATAAGGAGTGTATACAGGAAGACACCCAGAGCAGTTTTTACTCCACACCTGCAATGTTCGTTTTCCAGTCTTCCGGCTGACATCTACAACAATGGAACACATGTATTCTGTTTAAATTTCTCTTGGAGATTCACCTGGACACCGGGGCCTCTTCAGCATGTTACAGCTGAGCCAGGAAAAGCACATGGCATCTCTCAAAATGCCTGGACGCACGTTTTGTTTGTCTCTGGACAGACAAAAAGCAGCCAGCAGTGAGTCATTACTAAGCCCCAGAAGGACACACACAGACACACACACATACACATACACACACACGCACACACACACACACATACTGTAGCACATGTGCTTCATTGAACAATCACATGAGTTGTTAGGAGGAAAACACCAAGTCTGTGACCTGAAGTGTTTCAGAGTTAACAGTGCATGTTCACAGACTGAAAACTCAGAGATCAAAAACCTGCTCAAATATTTTTTGTAGAATAACTTAACCAACTCAATGGCTAAGTTCTTCTACAAAAGAACTTAGCCAACACAAAAAAATGATATCAACTATTAAGTAAATCAGTTTTTATAATTTTAGTTATTGGAAATGTAATTGCAAATGGCCTCACTTTCAGACTATGATTAGTCTTCTGACACATGCAACATTGACACACACACACACGCACACACACACACATATATATATATATATATATATATATATATATATATATATATATATATATATATATATATATATAAATCTACTATGTTGTCTTATTTCCCAAAGAAGAATCATCTAAGCATACAAAGTGGTTTGCAAAAGTATTCATGCTCCGTAAACTTTTCCATATTTTATCACATTACAACTAAAAACATAAATATATTTTAGTGGAATTTAATGTGAAAGACAAACACAAAGCAGAATATAATTGTGAAATAGAATGAAAATTATACAAAAAAAATAAAATTGGACAGTGCGGTGTGAAAAAGTATTCAGCTTCCCAATCCCCTCAATACCACCTTTTGCTACAATTACAGCTGCAAGTCTGTTAGAGTTTTAGTGTCTCTGCCAGCTTTCCACATCAAGTGACTGAATTTTTTTGCACATTCTTCTTTGCAAATTCTAAAAACAGTTTTGAATCATTTATAATTTTCTGTTTCATCACTTTGTTTATATACAACTTTGTTTTGGTCTTTCAAATTAAATTCCAATGAAATTTATTTATGTTTGTGACAAAATATAGCAAGGTTCAAGGGGAATGAATACTGTTACAAGCCACTGTAGTTAATAACAAAAAAAAAAAACTGGACAGCATATCTGTAAGCAGAATCCTGGTATTTTGGGATTTTGCTTTTATTTATTAAAATACGCAAAGAATCCCTGTGTTGTAGCAAGAGGGGCGAGGAGGGGTACTGTCAGGACATCACGAGGATCAGCACATGGAAACAGGAACTCTGACCCTCAAGGACATTCTTTCACTTGTTTGTTTTCTTCCTCTTTTTTAGATGTTTATGCTGTTCAGGACCAAAATATCTGGTCTTATGCAATGAGAATTGAAAGGAAGAGAGACAGAATTTAGAGTGTCGGCCAAACCCAACTGGACTGTTTATTGCTAAAAAGCTCGATTACATTCTCCATGGACCAAAGTCCGTGATTCCAGTTAAAGTCGGAGTGGGCATCTGATAGCCCAGCTTTGCAGTGGGCAATAAAAACAGAAGAAAAAACAAAAACATTGGCTGTCTTCTGCCCTCATTTCAGGAGTGCTCAGGCCTTCTGAAAGGAGCCAACTTATCAAGGACTGATCCCACCGAGAACACAAAGTGTTTTCTTTTCTCCTGCCCTGTCAAGAATGAAAGGACTAAAAAAACAGCTTTGACCCAAGAACCATCAGATCACCAGTTCTGAGCACTAAGCCTTTAATGTAGATAAACATCTCCACAATTAAACAAAGACTTTACAATGTATCTAAATATTGATACTATTACATAATTACTCGGATACATTTCAAATTGAGTTTATGCAATACATTCAAATTCTAATCAGGATTTGTTTTCAGACATTTCAAAGTCTAAATGAAGCTACATGTTATATTTATTTTGGTATGCACAGTTAAGCCTAAAATAACTCATATGTCTGGCAAATTTTGATTTAGAATAATTTTAATTCTGCCAAGAAGTTTGTTTCTGATGGGAAATGAGCAACTGTCAAAATATAATAAAGCAGTGCCAATATAGCAATCTAACTTTTCTTATAATCACTGGCTTTTTGCCTGATTTCACAGCTATTTTCACAGCTTTTCTTTGGTGATAAGCTTTCAGTCTTTTGGAAGGCCTCCTTGCAATCACTCATCAGAGTCAAGTTTGAACTGGGGCTCTCCAAAGAATAAATACATTGCAAAAATAAATAAATAAAAAAATACTTTAAACCTCAAGCTGCAAGGAGTGCCAGTAATTTTCGGCTTAACTGCAATGTCAAAAGTACATCAGATTCACCAAATGGCAGCTTGTATGATATATCTAATACATACCCTTTAAAGCTTATGAACTAAACTAAAGTAATACAATTAATAAACACACTTTCTGAGTTTTTTCTCAGTTTTTACACTTGCCACTTGTAGTAATTAGATCCTCCACCAGAGGGAGTAAGACATTTACAGAGTTGAAGACCC